CCAGGGGTCAATACTGGGTCCAGTGTTGTTCAACCTATTCATCAATGACTTAGATGAAGGAACAGAGTGCCTCCTCAGCAAATTTGCTGATGACACTAAACTGGGAGGAGTGTCAGATATGCCAGATGGCTGCGCTGCCATTCAGAAGGACCTCGACAGGCTGGAGAGATGGGCAGAGAGGAACCTCATGAGGTTCAACAAGGGAAAGTGCAGGGTCCTGCATATGGGAAGGAATAACCCCATGCACCAGTACAGGTTGGGGGCTGAGCTCCTGGAAAGCAGCCCTGCAGAGAAAGACCTGGGAGTCCTGGTGGACAAGTTAAATATGAGCCAGCAGTGTGCTCTTGTGGCCAGGAAGGCCAACGGTATCCTGGGTTGCATTAGGAAGAGTGTTGCCAGCAGGTCAGGAGAGGTGATCCTGCCCCTCTCCTCAGACCTGGTGAGGCCCCACCTGGAGTATTGTGTCCAGTTCTGGGCTCCCCAGTACAGGAAGGACATGGAACTCCTGGAGTGTGTGCAGCGAAGGGTGACTAAGATGATTAAAGGACTGGAGCATCTTTCATATGAGGAAAGGCTGAGAGAGCTGGGCCTGTTCAGCCTGGAGAAAAGACAACTCAGAGGGGATCTGTTTAATGTTGATAAATATCTAAAGGGAGAGTGTCTAGAGGACGGGGCCAGACTCTTCTCATTGGCGCCCAACAATAGGACGAGAGGCAACAGGCATAAACTGCAGCATAGGAAGTTCCACCTGAACATAAGGAAGAACTTCTTTACTGTGAGGGTGACTGAGCACTGGAACAGGCTGCCCGGAGAGGTTGTGGAATCTCCCTCCCTGGAGAGATTCAAAACCGTCTGGACAAAATACTGGTTCATGTGCTCTAGGGGTCCCTGCTTGAGCAGGGTGGTTGGACTAGATGACCTTCAAAGGTCCCTTCCAACCTCAACCATTCTGTGATTCTGTGATTATAAAAAAGGGCACGCCCTGGCCCTCCTTGACAGGGAGGAGGAATGGGGAATCTAAGGTTGATGGTTTTTTTAATATGACTCTGAACATGAATTTGGGCAAACTGCTGAAAAGTGAGCTAGCTTCTGCAATGCACTGACCATTTCGCAGAGCAACCTGAATTCTGCTGTGCTGCTGTTACACTGAGCTTGCTTCTGGAAAAGCAATACTGCCTGACGTAGTCTGGTTTTGGAGAGTTTCTGAAGTCCACTTTATAAACCGTTACTGAAACAAAGAACAACACACAACCAAATAAAATGTGGCATCAGTTAAGTAGAGGCAACATGATGAAAACAAATCAAACCATCTGAAAAGAGAGTTGAACAATTACTTCCATTCTTCTTTTCTAACAATCACTGTTACAGTAGGGTAGCATCTTGAATAGTTCAGTGCCCCTCAAATACAACATACAGGCAAAACAAGAACAGTCTTTCAATATTAAAAGCATTC